GTTTAGTCTATAATTCCTGAATGGGTTTGTTATTCACAAGACATAAGCAACTGAGCTTTTCTCTTTAAATTAGCGTAACTTTTCGATATTTTTTCGAAATTTGCCGGCTTCCGAATAGTAATGTTTCGAGTTTTGGCAAACATTCAAAATGTTTTCAAGCACTACATTATTATTTTTTTTTTTAAAGAATATTTCCGAATTTTCCCAGCTTTTTAAAAGCTTTTAAATCTTCTAATTTCTGAGATCTTGTTTTGGAACTTCCCAACTTATTGGGACATATTTTGTGTATTTTCCTGAAAGTAAATTGCACCAAATGGTCTGTCAATTTTTAGCCAGCGGCTACTTTGAACCACTCTGCGAAGTCGCAGCAGGCAGCGTGCACATAAAATGTCGATTTTTAGTCGACATGTACTTTCTCTTTGCCAAGACTCATGTAAAAAAAGAACATTTCGAAAGCTTTTCTTAGGCTTTGTCATAAATTTGAAGGAGAATTCTTTCCTGCACCCCTGCCAGCAGCTAAGAACCAGTAGCGATCCTATCCGATCGCTACGAATCTTCAAAGAGCTTGCCAAATTTATGAAGAGGCGTGATATGCGGCGTAAGGGTTCATGATAGAAACACGTGGGCACCTTCATTTTTTTGAATATGCAACACGGACATCCTATGAGCACGAATAGTTGCATCCATGTGTTTGCATTAACGTCCGTAATTTTCGCCGTAGTAAGCACAGTGGCGATCTTCTTAAGTAGCAACACTGTTTTTCATCCAGTTAAATTTATGTACAAACCATCAATTTGAATTGAGGCAGGCTGTTTCACTAAAAACCAATATTTATTCTGGATTTTAATGAAAGAGAACCAGTGCCGCCAACTTACAATGAAGAATTATCACTTCTCTGCCGTTCACAGAAAAAACGCCGCACCTACATTCCAAATATTTTAATGTTTCTTTTACACATACTGTTCTATTGCAAGAAAACCTAATCGCCGTAAGGCTTCAGTTTTTCACTTTAAGTTCCTAAGGGTATGCCGGAGTTGACTATAAAAAATGAAGGATGAGTGCTTGGTAGTTTTCTTGTAAAGCAGCATTTTGTCAGAGGAGACTCGAAAAAATATTGAAAGAAGATGCGGCTTTTTTACTTTGGACGGCAGTTCTGGGAACTGCATAATTGAATGTCGTCTTTGTAACTCAACACCAGCATCTTCAGCATCAGCTGAAATCAACCCTTTAGGGAAGCGGCAGGCAGATTCCCAGAACGCGTCGCACCGGCCGCGGCACGAACACTATTCGGACCACATTTTGCAGTAAGGAACTACAATTTCTGGTTCTGAATTATAAACACCTATTTACGTAGGGGAAATAATGACATGTATGTTGTATCTATCTATACTGCGCTAGAAACTGTGCTTCCTAATCGCAAAATGTGGTCTATTTTCCCCTTCTCGCTCCTAAAATCTAGATCCGCGAAAAAAATCCACATCGCACGGAGAGCTCACACAGCTGCGTTTGCGATAGGAGGATTGTAAGGGGGGGGGGGTTGGGAGGAGATCCTGAACCCATCTGTTGTTTGTTTTACCGGTTCAATTAACGGTACGTATACCGATGGAGCAGCTTTTCTGTAAAGTTCGTGACTTAGCCGCGCGGCAACGCATTTTGTCGCTCCGCGTCGACGTGAAAGGCGTAGGTACACTGTCAGATGAGCCCTCTCGTGCTTATGAACCAATGCTTTCTAGGGCTCACTAGGGAGTGGAGTTACACCTTTACGTCGATTTTTACAGGACGATTCATTTGTCTCGATCCAATCCGCTGTGCGGGAGGGAGGGGCGACTTTACGCAAGCGCGCTAGGCTGCAGCGGCGAGACGTGGACGATCGATTATCGATATTTCCCTATTTGAAGCTATGGTGAAGAATCGATTATGAACGTGTTCGTCGCGAATACCCTGTGTATCGATCCTTTTCCATAGGTTTAAATGGCAGATCAATCGATTTGTCGCAAAGCACGCCACGCCACTGCTAGACTGCGCTCCTTCATGCCATGCACTTGACGGATTACGGATTGTGATTGACAACGGAAAGTGCTCCCGGCAATACAGGAAAATTGTTACAAATTCCGTTTCGCGGTCATTTCGAAATTGTGTCATCTGGTGGTTCAATGCTGCGGAGATCGTTGCAAGTCGTGGTATACGCATGGGCGTAGTGGGTATTTTTCTTTGGGGGAGCAACCGTAGGAAAATGGTTTATGCTTCCACGAGTCTTGTGGTATATTCTTTAATTTTTTTCAGTAACAATTTTTTTTTTGGGAGGGGCCACAAGCATTCTAGGGGTGGGCCAAAAGAAATTTTAAAAACAAAAAAATCAAAACGTGATATTCCGAAGAAGTTACGTGTTCTCGTCGGTTCGAACCACACCAAGGGTCTGAGGATTTTTGCGTTTTTTATTTTTGAGGTCGCTTCAATTTTTTAAAGCGGTGAGCTTGCTCAACCGTCAACTCAGGGATTCGAGGCGATTCCTATTCCGAGCTGTTCGGTGCCCAAATTAACTCGTAGTTCAAGTGCGCTTCACTCTTCAAGATTTTCTCTAGTGTATAGAAGGAGAAGCTCTTACATTTGACGGATTTAACTCGAGTCAGCGCAACTGTACTTTACGTCACTTACTCTCTTAAACAAAAAACAACTTGTCGTGGATCTCGACTCGAGTATGAAGAATTGAATCCCAAACTTTTAAGTCGAAAAGTTGCTTACAATTACTTTCCTTGCGAAAAAGTACTAAAATGTATAAAAAACAACGTCGGACGTAAATGCTCCGATTGTAGGTACAACCGTTTATTAATCTCGGTTTTGACAACACTGCAAACGAGATGACCTGTTATCACAGAACGACCGCTTCCTTTTTAGATGGTGAAAATGGGCGCAATGCATTGATAATATTTCCCAATGGGAGAATATTAGATTATCATAAAGGGGCCGTATGAAAACAGCATCCCGACGCAAGCAACAAGTCCCTCGTGAATCACCAAGCCGAAACACAGTGGATCGTGTCCACAGGAGAGGTGGGACAAAATTTAGACAAATTTAAACGCCTATACTGCCATGCTAAGGAAAAACGCCGTATGAACATTCCAGAGTTGCCAAATTTCCCTTGATAAAACATGTATTTTTGACGACATTCATGCATAATTTTCCTTGAAATGTTCAGATATTTTAGATCAAATTGCGTTCAAAATGGTCTGAAAATTTTGGGTAAGAATATTTAGAATTTTCCTATTGATTTCAGTTTATATCGGAGGAAACTTGGCAACGTCTAAAGGCTCATACGGCGTTCTTCCTTAGCACGGCAGTATAACTCCGTCTATACAAAACTCAGAGGTTTAAAAGTGGTTCCATCGGGTTTCTGTAAAATTGTCTTCTTTAAGCATCTTTTGAAATTCAAATGACGAAATAAACATCAATATTTGCAGTTTTAGTAAAAAAAAAAAATCCATGTCCAACCTCTCCGATTGACGGGGTCCACTGTGCGAAAGGACGGAACAGTGATTCCAGTTGCCATAACGACCGGAAAAGCCGGAAATTGTAGCATTTTCTCCCTTCCGTTCGGCGCCTCTTGAGTAATTTGAACACCACCGAGAGTGGATTATTGTGCCAAAATGTTCATAATATGGCCGTAAAGCTCCATCTCTGAAGGGTAGTCATTTAAATAAATATCCAATTTGGACGAAAACTGACCGGAGCAGTGAGCCAAACCCTTCGCTCATTTCCTCTTGAGCCTAATTTAATTATTAATCTATGCCCTCTGTGGGGCTCATGCAGAGCAGAAATCGAGCTACGTTCTTACGTCAGAGGAGCGACGATTCGCACCCTTAGCGCCTAGTCTAGAGCTAATACGGAGTGATAATTGGACGCATTTCTATCAAACGGAACTAAGCGCCAATTTGAGTTCCTTTTGAGGAATTTAGAATCCTGGATAGCGCGTTCTGTCAAACGGCCCTAAGCGCCGTGGAAAAGCATTGCGAGTATAGGACGACGGATAAGCCGGACGCCCGATTCCGCCGCCAATGCAAGCCCCCCTCTACCTTCCTCACCCTATGGCGCTTAGGTCCGTTTGATAGAAATACGTCCAATTAGCTTCATAGTCTAATAGCTCTAATCTCGGTTTGGAGATCGTTCGTTTTGATTCTAGATTTAGGGTTGACGTGAGGTTACCCCAGGCTCAGTAGCCGAGAGAACGACTTTTAAATGTATAGAACTTGAAGGACTTGGTATATGGTATATTATGGCCCTAAGCCCTCGATTTTTTTTTTTTTTTTTTTTTTTTTTTTTTTTAACGTTGCTTTTTCATAGAGTACCATGTTTGTAGGGAATATTTGGAAAATGATTCCTTTCGGTGCAAAAAAGGACTTCCAGTTGATCCTTCAATAGCCATTCTCACCTCGCTGAAAGGTACTTTTATTTTGCATACATTCGAGTCGCTTTACAGCGCGCCCGGGCGCTTTGCGACACCTTTCCTATCGCCATCCTTGCCTATCGATCCAGAGGTCGTCTGGTAGATGGCATCTTGTGATTTCATCTTGAATGCCACCTATCCACGATTTTGCCGGACGTCCCCTACGTCTTCTCCCAGGAGAAACCCAATCCAGTACCTTCGTAGGCAACCTATCATCTGCCATTCGTTGAACGTGACCATACCAGACAAGCTGTTTGGTCATAATTTTATGCACGATGTTTTTTTTTTTTCTTCTTCTTTTTTTTTACCAATTTCAAGTAGCCTATCGGCTAATCCCACGCTTATTACCCCAGCCCCAGGTGACCATTGCCTGAGACCATCAAACTCAGATCACCTGGCCGGGAATCGAACCCAGGACCTCTTGGTCATAGGACCAGCGCTACAACCACTACACTCATGCTCTTACGTTCATGATCTCACGGACTCTTTCGTACACTTATACTCTTTCGTACGGTACACTTATTTTACTTATCGTTTATGCAATTTTTGTTTGTTTCAGGAACCGGAGCTCCGAGTGACGTCATGGTGGTGACGAAAGTGCGCGCGGTGCTCGTGCGATGAGGAAGTGCTAACCGGTGTCGGATCTCGGATCAAGCTCGCGGAGTTCCTCGGGAGTGTCTTGTCGCCGGTGAGCCCCCGGAGAAGTCTTCAAATACGGCGCGCCCCCGACTCGTCGCAATCGGGCGGACGATCGCTGCCTTGGACCGGGACCCCCTTATGAGGTTGCGCTCCCAGCTGAGCCGAATCGGACGGGCCCCCCGGAAAAAAGTGCGCGCCGACCGTGGCCGATGTCGGCGCTGAGCCCCATCACCTCCCGCCGCCCGTGAATTTTATTATCGAATTATCGCTGTGATAGTGACCGGTGATTAGTGATCAGTGTCCTGTGATCAGTGTCCAGTGATCAGTGTCCGGTGATCAGTGTCCAGTGCCAAAATGAGCGAGTTCCCGTCGAGGAAGATCTCCCTCCTCCGCGTCCGATCGGTGAGTAAACCATGCTTTTAAATTATGAATCACTGGGGGAAAAAAAAAAAAAAAAAAAAAAACCACATTGGATCTAGAGTTCAGACTCTTGAAAACATTGACAAGAAAAGGGACTCTTGATTCAATCAGATTTAAGCTTAAATCAAAAGGAAATCCGCTCAAATTGGGAGGCTTGGTTCTTGATTTAAGCTTAAATCTGATTGAATCAAGAGTACTTTTTCTTGTAGATGTTTTAAGAGTCAGCTGGGCTCTAGATCCAATGTGTTTTTTTTCCAGTGATGAGCGGCGCACAGTGGATCGAGTCAATGAGAGATGTCGGACTTAAAATTTTTTACTAAAACCGTAAAATTTCATTTTTATTTCGTCTTACTTTAAACTTTAAGGGGTGCTCCTTGAAGACAATTTCACGAGGAAACCAACAGGACCAATGAGACCACTTTAAGAACTTCAAAGTCTTGTATAAACGGAGTTATAAGCGTTTGAAGTTTCCAAATTTTGTCCGACTCCTCTTATTGACTCGATCCACTGTGGGCCGTAGAGAAATTAGAGGTAGATGGCGATGGGAGTTTTGTACATTTCCATATTCTCCAACAAACAGGCAGAGGTTTCTAATGAGACTTGTGACTAAGTTGGGTCATGTTGGCGTGAAGCAATGTCTGCGGAGCGATTGTGTGTGAGTGTTTCTCAAACTGGTAAAAAGAGTTACGGGGTATGTAGACATACCGTCCGTTCCGGGCTCAAAGGCCGAAAGTTCCGGGTGTAGCACCCGGAGCAATCGAAATTGCGGCTCCAGCACCCGGAACTTTCGGCCTCTAAGCCCGGAACGGACGGTATGTCTATATACCCCGTAACTTTTTTTACCAGTTTGAGAAACACTAATTAATCACTCCCAGAACTATAATCTTCAATGAAACAGACCCACATAATTTTAATAGCAATACGGCTTATTAATATTTGTTCAGACGGAAAATCCTAACGAAAAACCACACAAGAATCAACTGGAGAGGTGGAAAAAAAAGCGTCATGAGGATGAAGACATTACTATGATTAGTTTACTCACCGCAATGAGAATATTAGCCTTGTAGAACCATTTACAGTGCGAGTCTGATAAGCGCAAAGCTCAGCGCCTTGTTATGAAAATCGTCGCTTAGCTGACAAAGGGGCGTAACTACGCATTGACATGAGCCCGGAAAAGCATTGAGTTAAATGGACGACAGGGTTCGTCGCGAAGTGTAGTTGCGCCTTTATGTCAGGAAGGCGACGAAATTTCACGCATATTATTCGGGCGTGAAATGCGGTGTCTCTCGTCGCGGCGCGTCGCGCATTTTAAGTACTTTCCAAGCACATCAAGCCGAAGCAAAGTCATGAAAGGTTGAACATCTTGATACAACCTTCCAACCATGCTCCATCGATTCTCCCCATAGAATGCGGAATATGATTAATTACGATACTGTGACAAGCTCTCGAAAAGTCAAGAAAGCTCGGGAAGCTCTGAAACTTTTTTAATCAACCGTGAAAAGTCGGGAAATTTCGCAATTGAATTGTTAAAGTTTTTTCTTCTGACCTGAAGATTCTCATCATCTTCAGTGGAGCTTTTGCTTATGTCAGGAATTTACGATTTAAGAATTATTGGCTTCCATGTAAAATTCCGCGAGAAACACGATGGTGCCACTGGTTGCTTCTGAAACTAACTCCAAAACCAAAAACGAAGCTTTCAAAGTTATGTAGCTGTTATACAAAATGACGAAAATGTCAAGAAAAATTGTCAAGTCGCCTTCATTTCCTTTCTAGAATAGATTTGACGTTTTCAACAACAGATTTAGTCCGAAAACTATTTCAAATCATGTCTTTTTAAGCATCTGGCACATCCTCAATTTTCCTGGAAGTTTTCCAAGATAAGGCAGGGAAATTAGGGAAATGTCAGGGAATTTCATTTTCTAAATTTTGTGGCAACCCTGTAAAAATGCAACTCGTGAGGGGGAAATTTGGAAACATTGAAATCTAGTTACGTTCTTTCGTGAGAAAAACGACGATCTGCAGGATCTTCACGTCATGCACACGTCGTGGAGCACTTAAGCACACGTCATATAAACTTCGAAAAAACCGGCCAAAAATTTTAAGCCGCCACCACCCTGAAGACTTAGCTGCTGACTTGCTCTGCCTTCTAGGGACTTGGGCCTCACCTTGCATAATTAGTTTGTTTTGGTTGAGAGCGTGTAATGTTAGCGCAGTCAAATTATTCTCCCGTAAATTAGCCCACTTGAGACCGAAGCTCGAAACCTGAAACCTAATCTTGCCCGTCAGCAGATTCCAGCCGCGACCGACTGAAACTGGCGAAACGCTCCTTTCGCACATTTTATTCGTTCACCCTCTCGTCGATGCGGTTTTGCACGGTTCAATGATGAGCTTTCAAAAAAATTTTGATGTGAGAACTAAACAAACCGGCGATAGCCGATTTTGGTACATATTCTGCATTAGACATGGAACCCAATCAGTAAAAATCTGAGTATTAATCTCGAAAATCTAGAGAAAAAAACTGGTTGCTGATGACACAATCGGCGAGAAATCCTGAAAATTTCACCTTCCAAATAGCGCTATAAGGGCCCCAAATATTTTTTTTCTAAATCTTGCCATTCCAAGATTTAAAACGGATTTTCACCTTCGTACTATTTAAATCCTCGTTTTCGTGTCCTCATCGGCTGAAAATTACAGGCGGCCAGTGGTAGTACGTTTTTCCGTTATTTGTTTTTTGTTTTTCAAATATTTTTTTTCTAAATCTTGCCATTCCAAGATTTAAAACGGATTTTCACCTTCGTGCTTATTTAAATCCTCGTTTTCGTTTCCTCATCCGCTGAAAATTACAGGCGGCCAGTGGTAGTACGTTTTTCCGTTATTTGTTTTCAAAGCGGTATTTTCAGACGGAGTCAAGACGCGGTAACATTTCAGCCCAGCCTAGTTCATTTACGTACTCGTTACCTCTGCTTCACGTCTAATACTTACCGCGAAGATAATAGGCAACAAATTTCGCACCCGTTCGAACCTCACTAAGTGCATGCCAAGATCACGCGAAATCTTCTTTCCTTGCAACTTTGCATACGAACAATGCCAGAGATAACAAATTCCCGAAAAGACTGTCGTATTTGGTGAATGGCGCTGAAATTCGTTGAGCGATCGTTCAGCAGAGTAACAACCCATTGTTTAGCGCTCGAGTGAAGCGGCGCACAGTGGATCGAGTTAATCAGAGAGGTCGGACACGAAATTTTTAACCAAAACTGCAAATGGACCAATAGACAAGGTACGAATTTAAGCATTCTAATACATGTTACTTGACCAAAATTTCACAAAGAACACGATGCGCACAACGAAAATTACCGAAATCAACTCGTTATGAAGATATTCAATAATTCTTGATGCGTGAATTCAAACCACCCGCTCATGAAAACTCAATGCTCTACGTGACTCACATCGCGCGCTAATCTTCATCATGACAGTCTCTGCGATATAAAAATCTGACAACCTTAATCTTGACGCTTTAGCTCAGCTATTGCAAGTTGTTTATAGTTTGAACAGCACATGGTGGGAAATGAACATCGCTTGATTGAGAAGTTTGCTGAAACCGTTCTAGTGTACGATTTGACTCACGTAGAGCTTTGAGTTTCTTGTGAGCGGGCAGTGCAAACTCCTCGTAACCAATGTGAAATATAAACGTTAATATCTTCGTTAGGAGTTGATTTCGGTAATTTTCGTTGCGCGAATCGTGTTCTACGTGAAATTCTGGTTAAGAAACATGTATTAGAATGCTTAAATTCGTACCTTGTCTATTGGTCCATTTTGATGTTTATTCCGTCACACTTTAAATTTTTAGGGGTTCGTCTAGAAGAAAATTTAACGAGGAAACCAATGGAACCACTTTTAGAACCTCAAAGTTGTGTATAAACGGAGTTATAAGCGTTTAAAGTTTCCAGGGTTTGTCCGAATCCTCCTATTGATTCGGTCCACTGTGCGGCGCAAAACGCTCTCTTTGTGCCTTCCTTTGAGGCAAGGCCGGCAAAAATGCGAAAATCTTCCGAAAGCACCCAACAGACTGAGTGCATATTTCCTGAAACCGTTGAAAGCTCAAATTCTGGATTGTTCTTCAATCCTCCCTTCATTGAGAAAAATAAATGTTCATGATCTCCACTCAACGACTTGGATAGGGCACTATTATTTCTTGGAATTGGAGGCGATTCTTGTTAGTAATGGTATTTCGATGGCGAGACTTTGAAAACGTTCAACTTTGTTTTGCACGGTTGCACGTTTCCAATCGTAGTTTAGCTTTAAAAGGTTGAGTGCTCATAGTCATAGTATCGAATTTCGCGAAATTTATCCTCAGCTTTTCCAGGATATTCTTTCAAAACGCTCAACAGAGCAGGGCCGGATTTACTTACTTGCCGCCCATGGGCCACCTGTATTTTGCCGCCCCCTTCTCATTCGTTTTGAAACATCAATAAAAACCATCAAGTGAACGTGCCGGAGGGGGAAGGGTGCATAAGACACGTCTACTCGTGTTGGACCCACTTTTTGCGAAAGCCTTGTCAACACTACTAGCAAAAGTTCAATGAACTTTGCGCGAAAGTTAGGTTTTTATAAATGAACGAAAAAATTATGAAAGAATAAACATAAATATAGTTTAATAATTTTAACTTCCGCCGCACCGCGCTGACCGAACTGTGTTTTTGCGCAATGCGTGAAGTATTCATGCAGTCTTGTAGGCGCTATGCGTTTCACGGCGCCTGCTGCTGACCGCAGCGACCGCACTGTCTTTTGATGCAATGCGTGAAATATTCATGCAGTCTGGAAGGCGCTAATATGTGTTACATGCAGACCGCCGCCGCGCCGCGCCGTGGGTTTCCCCTTTTCATCTCAAGATCATCGCCTCATCGCCTCATGCGCCGCGCCGTTCCAGGCCAAATTCCGTGTTCGGTTTCTCTCTTAGTCTTAACTCGACTAATTTATTAAAG